GAGCACAACACATTGCTTTGCAAGCAATTCTTAGTAGGGAGCCACAGACGTGGACACCCGAACAGACACCTGCTTGCAGAGGAGCCCTCTCCAAGGAATGCCAAAAGGCATCTTTACGAACTGACGGACGAAGCCCACAGGTTCATAAAGCAACCTCTGGACCCGTAAGCTTATCGACAGGCCCTGTGCGGCATTCATAGGGAGTCAGTCTCAAGTTTAGGGCATACGTCCCGGTTTTCCGGGAAGTGTCCTGGTTTTGGACTCTTCGTCCCGGTGTCCCGGTCATCCTTGGATGTCCCGGTTTTCAAAATTCCTGGATTGAATGCAAACAATTTAGCTGTTTCATTTTTTATTAAATTTTAATATTAAAATTTGCTAAACTTTGGAAATGTTCAATATAACATCTTCGAATGATAACAGCTTTCTGTTTGAGTTGATGATCGTGCCGAGCTCTAATTAGCGGAAGCTGTTTTCATATAATTTATGTTCTGTTAATAATGCTATTAATTTCCATGTACCTTTGTATGTATTTTTTAGGGTTATGATTGTTCTTATGTATTAGTCTGTGGTGGCATAAAAAACATTGTTAAAAACATTTTGTCCTAAAACATCGGAAAAGCTGCCTATTTTTTAAAATTATAAACAAAAACTAAAAAAGAGGTATAGCTGTATTTTACTTTTTTATTAACTTAAGTACAATCGTCCTTTTTTTGTTCTTGTAGCGTTAAATGTTACCCTTTCAATGCCGTCGTTTGAATGTTTCTTCGAAAAGGGCAATGTAATTCCAAAATTTATAAGACAGATTAAAATCCTAAAAAAAATCAATAATAAAAAGTGCGTTGCCTATCAAACCAAGATCTTCTTAAAACCATTCAGATTTCACTTGTAATAATCTGAAATATAGGCAGAAATAAATGCCAGTAGTTTACTCAACACTAATTTTTGCTGGCTGAATCCGTATTCCATTATTTTTTTTGCTAATTAACTAGTTGCACTAGCTTAACGGTTGCAAGATTTTGGAAAGCTGCGTTCAAACCATAGTAAACGCTTTATAAGGATACATAGTGACGAAAAAATTTTAGTATACATTTTTTACGCATAATTCAACAAAATATATTTTTCAAAAAGAAAAAACAGGAATTTTTCCGAAAAAAAAATTTTTTTATTTTATTGAAAAATGCATGATTTTGACCCCTTTTCCTAAAATATGCTGGAATCTATACTTGTGAACAAATTGCAGCAAACAAAATCGATCAAACTCTTGGGGTGTTTAGGACATTTTCAAAAAATTGTCCCGGTTTTGCGTCACACAAATATGGCAGCCCTACTCAAGTTACGTAGACTCCAGAGCTGACGTGGACGAGACAGAGCTTCGTCTGCCTCTGGAGAATCGCGATCACAATAGTCCAACTTCGCTCTGGCGAAGCAGGTTAAACACCTACCTGATCAGACGAGCGGGATAATGGTGGAGGCCTAGCGTTCATTACGCACCACACCGTGCAGTATCGTCTTATCGAAGCAGACATCGACCGCAGGGATACCACTCTAGAATGTCAGGGCATTGCAATCCGACCAAGCGATGTTGACCTCGAAATATTTAACGTTTATATACCCCCTGTCACCTGCTGACCGGTAGGATATCACCCTGACATAGGTGCGCTCCTCAGAGGTGAAAACCGTATGGTAGTAGGCGACTTTAATGCGCACCACGACCTTTGGCACTCAAGCCTGTCAAACGATCGTAGGGGTACTGACTTGGCTGAGCAGATAGACGATTCGACATTCTGCGCAATGAACGACGACGCACCCACCAGGATTATGGGCACCTGCTGCAGCTCGCCAGACATAAAAATAGTCAGCGCTGGTCTGATAAACAGCATATCATGGCGACCTATGCTGACNACTTCTCCAAAGCTGATTGGAAAGGCTTCGCGGAATTTACTGAAAACACCTTCGCTGCCCTCCCCACACCAACCGACGTCCACCTTGGTGACCGTAAGTTCCGCAGGGTTGTCACCGCTGCTGCAGCCCACTTCGTACCGGCAGGATGCGTCACCGACCCACGCCCAGATTTCCCTGCTGAAGCGGCTGTTCTAGCCGATGAGCGTGACAGCCTTCGTCAGGCCGATCCCGGAGATCCCCGTATCAGCGATCTCAACGCGGAGATTCGGCAACTAGTGAACGTACATAAGCGGAAGAAGTGGGAAGAGCATCTGAAGACCTGCAACTTTACCTCTGGTGTAAGCATTGGTCAACCGTGAGGTCACTGTCCAATCCGACGAAGTCGAAATTTCTTTCGGCGACCATGCTTCGTCGGACCCGGAGCGATGCGCGAGCTATTTTAGCCGGCAGTTCATACTGCATCCTCCGGTGGACAAAGCCAAGCGTCGAGTGACCAGAAGGCTGCACAAACTGCCAACCTGTGCCCCCTTGCTTGAAGGCGAAAGCCTCCAAAGCCATGGGCCCCGACGGAATATGCATGCTGATACTGAAAAATTTGGGTCCTGCGGGGGTAGCTTACCTAACGGAGGTCCTCAACTTGTCTATGACCACTCTCATCATCCCAGACATCTGGAAGGTGGGGAGAGTGGTCCACTGCTCAAACCGGGGAAACCTGCCAACATAGGAGATTCTTATCATCCGATAACACTCCTTTCCCCGGTAGCGAAGACACTCGAGGCCTTTCTACTCCCGTATTTCACAAACAACTTGACCCCAGCGAAGCATTAGCATGGTTTCCGTAAAGTTCACAGTACAACAACAGCATTTAACGCCATAAACACTCAGATAACTCGTGGCCTTAACCGTAAACGTCCCTGTGAGAGAACGATTCTAGTAGCGCTGGGCATGTCAAAGGCTTTTGACACTGTCAGCCATTCCACACTACAAGAAGATATAGAGGCTTCCTCTCTCCCACAGAGGCTCAAACGGTGGTCGGCAAATTATCTAAGTGGTCGACACTCGTCGGTAATGTTTTGAGACAAATCGAGCAAACTTAGGAAAATAAAACAGGGGGTTCCACAGGGTGGTGTCCTTTCCCCACTACACTACAGAGGGAGTCTCGATTGTCTCTTACGCCAATGATTCCTCGATCATAGCGACTGGGAATGGAATTGATGACCTGTGTTCGAAAGTAAACGGATATCTCTCTAAACTTTCTCGCTTATTCACTGCAAAGTGTCTAGCCCTCTCCCCTCCGAAAACCTCTGCGACCCTTTTCACAACCTGGACGAAGGTCAGGCTACCGCTAGGAATTCACGTCGATGACACACCAATTCCGACGGTGAATAATTCTAAAATTCTCGGAGTAACATTCGACAGCCTGCTCTCCTTCTCTGCGCACGCAACCGCTATTGTCAATAAAGTACAGAGCCGCAACAAAGTCCTCAAGTCGCTAGCCGGCAGTACTTGGGGCAAAGACAAAGAAACGCAACATTCAAGGCAATAGGCCGGCCGGTTTTAAACTACGCAGCACCAGTGTAGTCGCCGGGGACTAGAAGGACGCAGTGGACGAAGCTACAGACGGTACAAAATACAGCACTTAGGACAGCGACTGCATGCCTCCTGATGTCACCAGAACACCACCTCCACGACGAGGCGAAAATGCTCCCAATTAGGGAGCACAACACGATGCTCTGCAAGCAGTTTCTTGCTGGGAGCCACAGATGTCGCCACCCAAATAGACAGCTGCTTGCAGAGGAGCCCTCGCCGAGGCACGTCAGGAGGCATCTATATGAACTGACGGACGAAGTCGAGAGGTTCATTAAGCAACCTCTGGACCCGTCAGCTCACAGACAGGCCCTGAACGGCATTCACAGGGACGCAGTCTCGAGTTATGTAGACTCAAGATCTGTGAATGCCGTTCTGGGCACACAAATACTGGACATTGACGCGACGGAGCTCCATCTGCCTCGGGAGACCAGGACAACAATAGCCCAACTTCGCTCTGGCTACTGCAGCAGGCTAAACTCCTACCTGAGTAGGTTAAATGCGGATGTGCCGAACGAATCTCCGGCATGCGGAGAGACCCCTCACGACTCGAAACACCTCTTCGCATGCCCGGAAAACCCCACAACCCTAACGGCGTCGTCCCTATGGACCGACCCCATAGAGGCTGCACGCTTCTTGGGGCTGCCGTTAGTGGAACTTGACAACGACTGAGATATTAGCCTATCTGGGCGGGGTTGTTGTAGCCGCTACAACAACAACAACGATTGAGGGAATAACCCAGGGATGGGCAGATTTTTGGCTCTTAAAGCCGTCAAAGATCCAGCAAGTGCTAAGCAAGAGCTAAATGAGTTCTCAGCGTAAAAGGGGCGTACAAAATACATTAAAAGCATTATATATATTTTTAATGAGAGTCGGAGTACAAGAAATTTGAATACGAACTTCCCCCTTCATGCTGGCTCTTGATGTTACCGCTTATCTGCCTCCTAAATGTGCCAAGCCGGCTCCTAAGTGCAAAAGGCTCCTGGGAGCCACTTTGCCCATATCTGGACTAGAAGGACTTTCGCACGAGGCGATTTTTCAACTCACCCAGGGTTGCACGAAAAAAATTGTATGGCTAAAAATATCAAAATAGAAAAATATTCACCATAAAAAGGCGTTTGCATTGTTCAACTTTGCATTTTACTTTTGGTTCAACAACAGTTGGTCGCCAGCCAACATTTAGCCATTCAACTTTTTTTTCGTGCAATCCTGCGTGGGTTGAAAGCAAAAGTTGAACGCAAAATCGCCTCGTGCGAACCGATCTGGGTAGGGTTGTTGTAGCCGCTACAACAACAACAACGACAACAGAGGATATAATAAGTGTAACTTTAATTGTATTCCAAACGAAAGAAAAGCAGGCATTACCTAAAAAAGTTTCGTGATAAATATATCGCTTTCATTTGTGCTACTCATGTCGAACAGCTAATGTGGGTTTCAAATCCATTTTACACAGTCATAATCTTATTTTTATATAAATTATTATTATAAAATAATATGTAATATGAACTCACCGTCAAGTTTTGTATTCATGTTGTTAAGACTTTTCGTACACCAAGCAACAAACTCATTCTCATAATCGTCTCGTTTATTATTACTAGCACTGCTACTGCCACTAGAGAGATTCTGTTGTTGATTTTTGTTACTGCCCTTTTTTTCAACACCGGCGCCGCTATCGGCATTATTACCTCCAGCTCTCGGTGGTAGTGCTTTATTGCTGGGACCTGGTTTTGCAGTATTAGCATGATGCTGTTGAATGTTGACCTTAGACGTTTTGCCATTTGGCGTTGCAGCATTTTGCATTACAGACACGGTTTGACTTTTACGCAAGTTGCGTGTTGCTGAAATCTGTTGGTTGTTTTCATGTTGGCCACTATTGGATGAAACTAGAGTGTTTGCAATAGAAGCTGGTATTTTTGGTTGTCCAGTTGGTGTGTGTTTGTTGTTATTATTGCTACAACCAGCGCTGTTTCCAGCAGCTGCAGTGTTGCTTGATAAATTGTTATTGGCGGCGACGGCTGCACTAAACTTGATTGGCTCCTCCCAGAAACCTGTGGTGCTGGTCGAACCCCAAACTTTTGTGCCGCTCCATATAGCAGAGATGCTGTTAGACCCCAAACCAGCACTACTAGAAGCACTAATGGCTGTAGCTGTAGCTGCTTGTTGCTGTTCTTGTTCCTTGCGACGCTGCATCTCCAGCTGCTCATTAGCAAGTCGTTTAGCTTCCTCTGCTTGTATTTCCGCAAAATTCTTAACCGGTACATCTTTTGCTGGTGCATTCCATTTTAACATTGAATCAAATGCTTCAGCAGCCGCGGCAGCACTAGCACGCACGCGCTTTACAAACAACTCCATTTGACGTTGTTCTATTTGACGTTCGCGCCTCTCAGCCTTTTGAATTTCAGCCAAGCATGGTCCTCCCTTGGTTGCAGCTGCGTTAGTTTGAGCAGACCATGGCGCGATTGAAGATTGCACGCGTTGCTCCTTAGTAGACTTAGAGCTTGAAGTAACGCTCCCATCTAAACCTGATGACGAATTATTTGGATTGGAATTGGTTCCCAACATTGCTTTTCGACGCTGAGCTTGTATCTGTTGTTGCCTTTCTTTTTCTTCCAGCACTTGTCGACGTTTCTCTTCATCAACCTGTTGCTGGCGTCGTTTCTCTTCGTCTGCTTGTTGGCGTTTCTTCTCTTCCTTCAAGCGACGCTTGTCATCTGCTTGATCACGGCGGCGATCGTCTTCATTTCTTTTACTACCCACGCCCTCATCGGATGCCTTAGCATTTTTAGTGGAGGAGAGGTGTTGCTTATTAACAATGCGTTTAGTATTGCCATTCTGATACTTGTCATTTATTTCCTCTTTCCGTTGTTTTGTTACAGTTGAAGTTGTAGGCAATACCGCTGTGGGTAAATTTTGCTGTTGGCTTTGCATGGTTGTATCTGCATGTTTAACAACATCAGTATCTGATACTTTATCCAGTAAATTTTGGCCGTCACTTACACTTAGTTGTGCCTCATTTCCACTGACGACTTGCATACTCAAAGAATTTTGTCTATCAAAGTTTTTTGCAGCATTAGATTCAGTTTGCTGCTGTGATTTTTGTAAAGATGGGACGTGTTCCAATGTCGGCAGATCCCACATGGACGTTGGAATTGTCTTTTGAGACTGCTGTGGTGCCTGTTGAATTTCCTGCGTCAGATTATTAACGTTTCCAGTAGCACCATTATTACCTTGTACAACCGTCATTGGGATGCCAACTAACATGTTATTTGACCACTCATTGGGCGGCAACTGGGAGGCCATAGGCGCTTGATTAGGCGCCGGAGGTAGCCATGAATGTACTAAAGAATTATTTTGACCTAAAGGGTTTCTAGCCACTAGCATTTGTGTTTCGTTAAGGAAATCAGCATTTGGACCGCCAATAAAGTCCTGAGGTTTTGTATTAGATAAGAGAGGTGAATTTGCTTCACCCGAGGGTAAAAACATACGCATATTAAAATTGTTTAGCAGTTCGTTTCCTGTTTGATCATCATTTACACTACCTAACTTTCCAGGACCACCGTTTTCCCTACCAGGCGGCAAAACGTTTCCAAATGGACTGGAGCTAAAAACCGTTTGCATTGGTTGTTGGTGCTGTTGTGAATTTATTAGGAAATCGTCTGGATCCAAAAATGGATTTGGCTGTGGTGGTGTCTGTTGCGAGACATTTTGGCTTCCTGTGCTTGCTGCAGCACCACCAAAAAGATGATCTTTTTTAGAACCATCAATTATAACATCATACAAATGGTTTGTAGCTGCCGGCGGATTTATTGAAACCAATGAATTACTCAGCCCTGAAAGATTGGATAAATATTCAGAGTGCATTTGTAGTTTTTGACGCACAACAGCCTCTTTTTCAGACGGTGTTAGATGCTGAAAACATTCATTCTCCGACATTTCGTTATATATTAACATTTCTTGATGACGCAACATCTGAAAGTACATATTCGAAACATCTACTGGTACAATATGATTTTTTACGTTGCCGCTCAGAAAATCAGCCCCGGCAACGCCAAAAGTGCCCTTAAGTTGATCCCGGTTTTCATTTTGTGTCTGCTGCTTTAAGGTAAAGTCGCCAATTAATTGTGGTTTTTGTGGCTGTCTCACTGCTCCTGGTGCAGAATTCGATAAATGCATGTTATCTAAATTTGGTATTAGATGGCTGTGTGTGAAAGGCATATTATCATTACAGAGTTTTATTAACTCGCCCAGCGAACGGAAGTGTGTATCACATAGTCGGCGTACGTATAGATTCTCGTTAAAATATCCAGCTCGATACCATTCAGTCATTTCGATCGCTGTGAACGGACCTTGTACCTTTGATTGAGGATCTCTATAGTACCACAGATCCGTTGGCGTAGCCGTTGATGTTGCCGAATTTAGACCATGTGGTAGACGACCACTTGATGAAAGATGTACCGCAGCTGCAAGCTGCTGCTGTTGCAAATGATGATGTTGCATTGCGGCGTGATCAACGACCACTCCCCCGCCATAGAGTTGAATGCCCTTGTGTACGCTACCATCCGGTAACGATGTCAAGGTAGGTGAAACAGCAGCTGGCGTTGGCATTGATTGCCGCGGAGTTTGCTTAAGCATGACAGCAACGCTTGTAAAAACATTAGGGGTACAGATGTTATTTCCTATAGGGGTTGATGGTGTTGCTGCTGTTGCATGGACTGATGCTTCTGATTTAATGGCATTTCGCACATTATCACTAATATTAATAGTGTCATCGTCCATAATCAATTTTTCAATCATGTCATCTGCAACCTCTCGCATACGATCAGACAGGTCACGATGAACACTGCTGTTGCTATCAGTTAATGTATTACTAGGTGTCGAGACCGAGTTACTAGTTGTATTGTAATAGGAAGTATTTGAAGTTGTAACTGCTTCTTTTGATACCACTTCTGTACTAGTCGTATCTGGCGTGCTTCCTTGTTGAGATTGTGAAGTAGCTAAGTTCGCCGAATCTAGCTCTTCCGTAACCGTGTTTTCGGCGTCAACGGACTTCGGATCATTATTTGTAGATGGAACAGCTAATGGTTCTAGGTCATTTTCTTTTAGTAAATCTATTGAATTTTCTGCAGGAGTACACGCAGCAGATTGCTCGGAGGATTCAGATCTACCTTCTTTGTTAAGGTCATTTTCCAGAGATGCCGTTGTTTCGCCAGTAGACGCTTCAGAAGATTTACTCTCTCTCACGCAACTGCCTGCGTAACGAGTGGAACTTTCACAACTTGAATCACTCTTTTTTCGACTCTGTTTACTACTGTTTTCACTTTCATCTTCATCCACGGAGCCATGGAAAGCACCACTAGCATCAAAAGTTCCTCCACCATTCGAAGGATTTTCCATTGCCCACTCTGGCAAATTGTCTTCACCATCTCCACCCGCTCCCGAAGACCCGCCTATACTACTATTATTGGTATTCCATTGAGTACTGCGGGTTGATGGTACATTCAAGCCAGATAGCGCGTTGAACGTTCGACTGGAAGCCTGGTTAGCACTGGTACCGTAAGGAGGATTTGCGGGTGTTTTAGTGGTACTGCCGCCACTATTGCTTCCAGCATAACTTCCTCGTTCGGTCACAGTTGTTATCGTTGAATAAGAACGTTGCATAGTCATACCACTCCCACCGTTATTGCTGAATCCAACGTCAGCAGCTGGGCTGGCTGATATTTCGTCGTCTCGCCAACTTGTAGAACGCCCTGTTATTTAAATAAATAAAACAGTTAGTGCGCCTAGACACCGCTATAGAAGTGAAACTTCTTTTGATTCATGTGGCAGCTAAAACATTTTTTATCTTTTCATAGCTTCTCATAACCTTAATCCCAATCTCAACCTCAATTTCAATCTCTAGCAAAATCTTCTTTAATACTACAGACACTGAAGAAGTTTCACTTCAATACACATGGAACATGGAAAGTTTTTCAAGGAATAGATATATATATACCCCAGCGGTGTGTTGCTGCAAAACTGCCACTGATGCTGTTACTTCCACGCCAAGCTTCAGCATTGCCCAAGCCACTTGTGGATGCATCACCTGAACCATCTTCATTACGGTTCCTGCGCCAGTTTTCCATATTTCGGGGATGATTAGAAAACTCTTTGCGGGGACTTGAAGTAGGCGTACCATTCCAGTCTGAGCTCAGGCCAATTCCACCTATATTCCCACTACTCATATTCAATGAATCTCCGCCTCCATTGCGTTCCGACCAGCCTCGGTCAGTCTAGTATAAGAAAATACAAAATGCTCAGATCAGTGTCATATCGGCCGAGACGCAGTAACGAATATTTATTAGACTTAATGAAATTACCTTTAGAGGCACTGAACGTGAGTCATCATCACCAAATAAAGCGGTAGGTCGCTGGTATATTTGATGATAATTAGATTTACCGCGCATTCGTCCACGATCTACGGATCCACCTCTGCCAGTTCCTCTTGTGGAACTACTGAAACCAACTGGCGATCGTTGCATCCATGAAGGCCGCTGCTACAATATTTTTTAAAATCGATTAAAGTCAGTACCAAATGGAAATATTTTATCTAATATATTAAATGAAGTAAAAACATATTTCATTTGTTTGCAAAAGATGCTGATGTACAGACTTGACAACGCGCGTGTTATTTTTCATTTACCTATCGACTGTTTAAGCTTCGTTCTCAAAGAAAATTTGTTCAATTTGGTTGAGAGTAGGAGATTTTACAACACTCTTGAGAAGGAAGACAAAACTGGGCATTTTCGACAAGTGCCACTGTTGTATCTTGAGTTACAGCTAAGCAGCGCGAAGGGCGAGATGGGCAGCTTCCTGGAGCATCTAGCTGCTGAGGAGGCAGCGGTCTTGAGCATGCCAGGGACGAAGAGCAGCTAAGACCCACCAAAGTGTCCAGCGACAGGACACATCGCAAACCTAGAGCAAGAATTACTTCTGGAAGCACTAAAGTACATAAGACTAGCATAATTTACCTTCCGAACAAGATCGGTCGCGCCACCGGTCCGGAAGCTCTCTTTACAGGTACAAAAAGACAGAGAAGGCAGGCAACCGCCATCGTCCAGGGCAGTTACCGATTCAACCCCCTATTATGTATTCGTACGATGCACGATAGACGCTTGCATTCTCTATTACGAATCGATGTTGTCGTATGAAATTCGATAACTAGCGTATTTGATGTGTGCTGGTTCACAATAAGAAGTCAACAAAAACCACAGCCATTCACAAAATACATCTGTCGGGCGTATGAAAACGATAATACGAGAACTGATTTCATACAATATGCTTACAAGCGTTTATCGTCTATCGTATGAAAATTCGTAATAGGGGGGCAAGAGTCGACATCTTTCGAAGAGTCGGCATTATTCAAACAGTCATCACCGCTCCACGAGTCGGCACCGTTCTAAGCGCCGGAACCGTTCCGGCAGCAAGCACCGCGAGGAGTTGAACACGTCAGGAGGCATCTATATGAACTGACGGACGAAGTCCAGAGGTTCATTAAGCAACCTCTGGACCCGACAGCGTACAGACAGGCCCTGAACGGCATTCACAGGGACTCAGTCTCGAGTTATGTAGACTCTAGACCTGTGAATGCCGCCCCGAAAGTCCCGAAAGTCACAAAAATTCCGAAATTAGTCCCCAAAATACGGATTTTAGTTCCCAAAATCTCGAAAGTCCCAAAAAACTCGAAGCAGACCCGGAAGTCCGAAATAAGTCCCAAAAATCCGTAAATAGTCCCGACGTAGTCTAGAATATCCCGATATTAGTTCCGAGAATCCCAAAATCTCAAACAAAGTTTCCGGGAATCCCTAAAGAATTACGAAATAGCTTCGAAAATCCCGAAATATTCCCGAAAATCCCGAAATAGTCTCGAAAATTCTGATTTAGTCTGAAGAATCTCTAAAATCCCGAAATAGATCCCAAATTAAGGTGTGGTGAGTTGATTTGAGGAGAGGTGAAGTGAGTTGTGGTAAAGTAAGTTGAGGTGAATGTAAGGTGAGGTGTCAATTCTCTAAATTTCTCCTAAACTATACAGTATTTAGTTTGAAAGTATTTAGCCATCGACTAAATACCTGGGTACTTTAGTGAAAGTATTTTGCATCCCCAAGGTACCTGAGTACTTTGGACCAGAGTATTTAGCGCCTGCTAAATACTTTCGTTTTTTGTACTTTGGTATCTAGCAGCTCCTAAATACCTAAGTAAATAGTACTTGGGTATTTAGCAGCTCCTAAATACCTAAGTAAATAGTACTTGGGTATTTAGCAGCTCCTAAATACCTAAGTAAATAGTACTTTGGTATTTACAACAACACAAAATACCTTAATACTTTTGTACTTAGTACTTAATACTTAGTAAATACAATTTTGCCCATCACTGCCTATAACCTTACCGGGGTAAAAACTAACAAGTGTGCACAGTTTCGTGCGATTCCGTGTTGGTTCAAAAGATGTAAGGTAATAAACAAACAGACATTCACATTTTTATACAGTGACGAGCAAAACTGTAACATGGTGTAACGCTTTTTATATCAGCCGCCGCTATCTTTTCAAGTTCTAACGACATTCACACTTTTGTTGTATATTCTTATTGGTACACCTGTACTTCCTCTCTCATAACGAATTAAGTCAATCCAGTTATGCACTTATATTTTTTAATAACTTTTTGAAAATTTTCACGAAAATAAAGAATTGTTAACACAATGTTCAGTATACATTTGCTTTTTTTAGTTCCTGGATGCAATTTGGAATACCTTAAGTGTATCTCTGTAAAAATTCTGGATAGATCCTTGGTTTGCTTTCACAGCTCATGTACTCCATTGGCGGACTTGGATACTTAGTAAGCTGCGCTTTTAGTTGATACCGCAAATTTTCGACGAGATTCATATCCGCGGATTGTGGAGGTCATTTCAAATTAGCAAATTTTTGCTTTTGCATCCAGTCTTTGCGAACATGTGCAGTGTGTTTTGATTTCAGATGGTTCAGGTGATTTTTCAGCAGAAACTCTAATTTTTCGACTACATCTTGCAAATTTTGCTGAAATATGAACAGATACTGTTCCTTAGCGAGCAGGGGCGTACCAATAAGAATATACAACAAAAGTATGAAAGTAGCTACAACTAGAAAAGATAGCGGTGTCTAAAATAAAAAGTGTTACACCATGTTACAGTTTTGCTCGTCACTGTATAAAAATGTGAATGTCTGTTTGTTTATTACCTTATATCTTTTGAACCAACACGGAATCGCACGAAACTGTGCACACTTGTTAGTTTTGCACACTGTGTTTTGCTCGTCACTGTATATAGATTTACATGGCTTTATTAAATGCAAACATATGCGAAAACCTATCTTTTTCGTGTAGAGTTAACATTTGTCGCGCACGTGCCAATTCGCAGAAGTTTAAAAATTTGTTGCGATGGAAGCGGCGCACAGTGTGCTTTTTGAACACTCCATGCGAATTAATCGTAGCGCTTTCGACAGAAGCAACATCTTGATATGAAACAAATGGTTTTGAAAGCTAATGTAATTCCCTTTCAGGGAAAAATACTGCCATTGACCCACAATTACTCCTTGACCTTAAAAAAATTGGTCAAAAATAGTGTTCTTCAAAAAAAAAAAACATGAAAAATTCATCCGATTTGTTCCAAAATAAAATTTTTTGCATATTTTATTACACTAATATTATAGATTTTGAGACGAGAAACACTATCCCGCAGTTTAGAAATCGAAAAAAATTGTAACACCTCAATTTAAGAAATGCATTTTTTTGTTTTACATGGAGCTGTGCATCCTTCTCACAACTTTATTTCACTCGAATAACAAGTACGCTGTAGTGCAAAAGTCAAGTTATAACAGTTTTAAACCATACTTCGAATCTGCTGTACGACTTTTTACTCTGAAAATAGAAGAAAAAATGCAAATATATCGAATGAAATTTCGAAGTTTAACATTAACAAATCCGGTGGATTTAACGTTTTTTTTTTGTTGAACCACACTATTTTTGACCCACTTTTTTGAGATCAAGGAGTAATTGTAGATCATATTTTTGTATTTTTTCGGGAAAGTGAATAAAATTAGCTTTCAAAACCATTTTGTTTCATATCACAATATTGCTTATGTTCAAAGCGCTACGATTAATTCGCTTGGAGTGTTCAAAAGGCACACTGTGCGGCGAGGGGAAGACGAAAGCAAATCAATCGCACATATATGGCCAAATCTCCGGAATCGAGCAATTTTACTCTAAAAAAACGTAACATTTTAAATTGAGCGCGCAAAAATAAATTATACATCAAATTGTTTGAAATCCATTGAGGAAAAATCAAATTCTTTACTTTCCTCAAATGCTTAAAGAGTTATAAGTAAAAAACAATCATTTTTGAAAACTCAAAGTTGGGTATACTTCCAGAGAGCGTAGTTTTTGTCCGATTTCAAAAATTTTTTAGACAGTATTTAAAAAGGTCAGGTGCAATGTGTATATACAATTTGGTAAAGATTGGTGAAGTGGTTTTTGAGATACAAATATTTTACATGAATTCCAAAAATTTTTACGAAAAACTAATTTTCGCTTAAGATCCATTGAAAATATCATTTTGGACTATTTATTTTAGACAAACATTATTTTAGGTATTTAGCAGTTTCATCGAACTTTATGAAGAATGTTATCTAACGATCACGCTTAATGCCAACCTGTTATGTTTTAGTCTGTCAGTGTTCCATCAAAAAAAGGGAATTGACGCAAATGCCTATTCAGACAATATTTGTTATATGTTTAATATTTTCAAAGGCACGCAGCTGTAAAAGGTCTTATTTTTACCTTTAATGTGTAATTAATATGTGTATAAAGAAATAAAAAAGAACTTAAATATGTCCTTTTTGATAATTACGAGTGACAGATTTCAAATTATTAGTTTATTTCCAAAAAGGAGCATATATTTTTCTCAACGCCTAATGTATTTTCCACCTTTACATTTAGTTTTTAACCAAAGTGACACATCAAGATTGGTATTTTAGTTACTTTGACTGCTTATAAAAATTAAAATGACACTATTAAAATAAAAAAAATTAAATAAGTTGTAAGCACCCGTCACATTTGTTATCAAAATTATAAAAAGTAAAATTCCATTAATAAAATTAATTTAAAGGTGAGTGACATAAAAGCACAGTTTTCCGGAGATTTGCACATATATCGTCACCTGAAATGCAAAAGGACGTAACAAACATCGTCGCTGAAATTCAAAAAGTCGTAACTACTAACAAAAAAAAACAAAATTCAGTTTTTGATTGATATGATGAATTTCATCGAATTACAACTCCCACGTCATTTAATGAAAACAATTTTAATTTTTAGTTACGACTTTTTTCATTTCAGTTACGATGTTGTTATGTCTTTTTGCATTTCAGGTGACGTGGGTGGCGTGGGTCGGTGATGCATCCTGCCGGTACGAAGCGGGTTGCAGCAGCGGTGACAGCCATGATATGCTGTTTATCAGACCAGCGCTGACTATTGTTATGTCTGGCGAGCTGCAGCAGCTGCCCATAATCCTGGTGGGTGCGTCGTCGTTCATTGTGCAGAATGTCGAATCGTCTATCTGCTCAGCCAAGTCTGTTCCCCTACGATAGTTTGACAGGCTTGAAAAACCAAAGATCGTGGCGCGCTTAAAAGTCGCCTACTACCATACGGTTTTCACCTCTGAGCAGCGCACCTATGTCAGGGTGATATCCTACCGGGCAACAGGTTACAGGGGATATATAAACGTTAAATATTTCGAGCTCAACATCGCCTGACCGGATAGCAATGCCCTGACATTCTACGATGGTATCCCTGCGGTCGATGTCTGCTTCGATAAGACGATACTGCACGGTGTGGTGCGTAATGAACGCTAAGCCTCCACCATTATCCCGCTCGTGATCCCGACGGTGCACGTTGTACCCGGCACAATTCAACAGTGTTGAATTGCTGTGCAACTTCGTCTCTTGGACCGCAGCTATCAATATGTCATGCCTTCCCATGAAGACGATTATCTCCTCGATCTTGCTCTGAAGCCCGTTACAGTTAAATTGAAGGAGCTTCATGTGGTTCGGGAGACGTGTGGTGATGCGGGGTGTGAGGGATGTGTGTGGTCGTGCCGCAGTTGGCTGTGTGCGCCGCTGAGGTGGTTGCCGCCCTGTGGTGATGGTGGGAGGCGTAGCCGTTTAGGTCTGCGACCGAGCAGCGCAACACGGGCCCTCGAAGTTCCTCGTCCAATCTCGCGTGGTGCGCAGACCTCAGCATGCCCTAAAGTGGCACCAGCCAAGGCAGGTGTTGCACATGACTGATGTCACATTACGGAATATCCTGGTCTGACATACCGTGGTGTTTGTTTGGGACTGCTCAGGTGGACTGGGGTTAGCCGTGGAGGCTGCTCTGTTTGAGCAACAGGGGGCCACAAAAGACGTGGTCCACTACCGATGTGTCCGTAGTCCTGAGCAGACTCTGAGGTGACTCCACCCCTCGCAAGCATTGCACTTGACGGAGGTGGAGCTGTGATGTAGTCGTCTCTGGCATACACAGCAGGTGTAGGTTTCTGGCCCTTGGTTTGACTCGATGCCAGTACCAGAAAACGTAACGAATGTAGCCCAATGGTCGAACAACTTCTGTGATACTTCGCCGACCTAAACGGGGTTAGATCGCCGAAACAACAGCCCTTGGTCGGGTAAAACCCGAGTCATTCCGGTACGTAGAACCGGCTGTCGTGGGAATGTCTTAGCTGGAATCGATATTAGTAGTTACGTTGTTAGTATCAAAGGTCCAATTGGACCCCAATTGAAAAAAGCTAATAAATAGAGTTATATGTACGGATGCAAATCGCTCATACAATCATCGAAATTGGTAATATCGATATTAACCAAAAAAAAATACCGACTGATCGATAAATCTACCAAAAAATATCGATACTATATCGATAGTGAATATCGGTAAAAGATTTTGTTGATGATTATTTATTTACATAAGTGTATGTAATTTTCTATGTACAAATATGTTGTCCATAAAAATACATGTAGCCTGCACGATTATGTTAGCATCGTACGAGTACGTTATTAAATAACACTTCTGACGATTACCACGATGCCAAAGTAGCGAAGTTACTCGGCATTGTCGCATCGTACGATTACTAACAGCACCGTCGATTAGTAACAGCATAGCAGAGTAATAATTCTGCTAATAAATTGGCACCATCTGCATCGTCAATAGCACTGTGACCAGATAGTCACAAAACCATCTGAACTATACCTGCATATCGAATTTTTTATTTACTTCAGCATAAATTGATTCATAAAGTCATAGGCGCATATTCATAGTCATATTTAGTACTCAACTAAGTCGAAACTATTCTAAGTCACAACTAAAGCTATTCATAGTCGCCTTAGTTTCGACTTTTCTGGCTAAGTACCAACTTAAAATTTAGTTTCGGCTGCAGCTGCAACTAAGTCGTAACTAGGAAGAAGTATTTTATCAAATTAAGGGAAAATAGACGAAACATGTAAAAATTAAGTTGGTAGAGGATGATTTTGATAATATTGAATAATCTCCCATTAAAATTTACAAAGATCGATCCATTTTAATCGGAA